TCGTCGACGCCGATCACGCTGCTGACTCTACTAATCGACGGTCGCGCACTGGATTCATCTACCGGCTTGAACCTATCGGACCTATTTCTTGGAATTCGACAAAGCAGGAGTTGATTGCTCTCTCCTCCGCTGAAGCTGAGTTCATCGCTGTTTGCACAGCAACACGCAAAGGACTTTACCTACAGGAACTACTCGAAGAAGCGAAGTTGGCGACGACTACCCAATTTACAATACAGTGCGACAACCAAAGTGCAATTCGCATCGCGCACCAGCCTGGTTTCGTCAACATGACGAAACATATTTCTCTACGTTACTTTTTCGTCAAAGATGAAGTCGAGAAGGGGAGGATGCGGTTGGTCTACTGTTCGACCAACGAAATGGCTGCCGATTTCCTCACGAAGAAGCTGACGCGACAGAAGTTTCAATACTGTAACAAGTTTTGCGGGATCTTCAAGACGTGACTCTATCGGAATTCCAGAAATGAAGGGGAGTGTTGTGGTATATTTCATACTTAGCATTTCTGTAAGACGTTTATCGATAGATAGTGTCGAATCCTACTGTAGAAGATAAGTCCGTAGGATGACGTCAGCAAGTAGCGCTCGTCATAGGACAGTCGTTTTAGTCACGCGAATAGTCGTACCTCTTTATTATCATCTAGGGCGCAATGCGCGATAGTGACGAACAGGTACATTAGCGGACAGGTACTTTCCTAGAGCTATAAGTCTTTGTTGTATCCTTTTTATTATTAACCTTGAGATTTCAACTCTGAGAACTTTTAAGACTTAAACTTCTGCAGAAACATATACTCAGGTTCACTCTTACAAGACTTCCGCTGTCTTACTAGTCTATCATTCCAGTAAAGATCCTAGGCTAACACTTGAGGTTTTCCGAGTGTTCGTGTTTGCAGATTCTATACTTACCGTAATCCCCCGTATAAAACACCCGCTGGAATTAAGCTCCCCCGGGTAGCTTGAGCGGGTATGGGTGTTTAATTTAACTGGATTTAGTTACCACCCTACCCTTGGCCTTGAAAATATTTGACCACCCTCCCCCGAGATGAAAACCGTTGTTCCTACGTTTTGCTGAATACAACTTCTTGAATTAGACGTTAGCAATACAACTAGAGTACACCGTGTTACTACTCGGCTAAAATTCACAGCTCAACTAGTTGGTGGCACCACCTGGAGCTTGAATCCTACCTACTGGCTCTGCCTAGAACCTAAATTAACCACTACACTTCAAATCCTTACACTACTCTTGATACTCATGCCTCTGCCACTGCTCTAGTCGTCCTCCTCAGGCTCCTCATCACCAGCCTGCCACATCTCGACGTCGCTCCCATCTGCAAGCTCATCCCACCAGCAGTTGTCGTCATCCTCCTCTGCAATGCCTTCTGCTGGCCACACATCAACACTTGCTGCTGCTGCTGATGCAGTGTCTGCATTGTCTGCGCTCGTCTCAGCTGCCTCGGTTGCTGCTCCAGCATAGTCGATGTCGTCAGCCGCCAGCGACGCCGCATCTGCCTCTTTGTCGGCGACGTCCCCGTTCACATCGATGAAGGCGTCGTAGAGGGGGTTGATGTAGCCGCTCTCGCCCTCATCGACGTGGACATCATCCATCACCTCGAGGTCGGGCTTACCGCGGAGGAAGCGGAGAGCGAGGTTGTCCTCGGTGCCGTCCATCGCATTTGATATCCCGCACGTCTTGAATGAACTCCGCACGAGCTCCTCTGGCACAGCCTCCCATGACCGAGCAATTCATTTCAAGATGAGCTCAGCCGGGGGCTTCTTCAGATTTCGTGCACATGGGACGGGAGCATGATGGGAGGAGAAGAACACGGGCACGGTGAGATAACGACTGGGAACGGGCACGGTGGAATTCGTCAACAAGCAAGAAGTCTAATAACGACTGAGGAAGCGACTAGGAAGGGGCTCACCTGCCGCAGTCTTCAGATCGATGCCGAACTGCTCAAACCACGCGCCGTAGTCGCCGCGCACGCCGGCCTTGAAGCTCTTGTTCACTGCGACGTCCAGCGGTTGAACGAGAGGCGTGCAACCACCGGGGATGACCGCGCGGGTAAGTTTGCACAGCTTCATCGTCTGCCCGACTGCTTGCGTGAGGTGGCCCTTGTACGAGTCCAGGATGACGAGCGCCTCCTTGCGCCTATTCCCCGCTTCGCGCAGCGGGCGCAAGAACGGGTTGAGGACTTGAGTAGTCCAGTCCTGTACAAGCTTCTCGTCCATCCAGCCCTTTGGCTGGGCTCGGATGATGACACCTGGATACAATCACAAGCCACAACAACAGTCAGAGGGTAGGCATCGGTGTACACTATGCACAGAGCGAAAAGCATAGGCGATTCTTACCCGGGGGAACCTGAATCTTTGGCAGCGTCTTCCGCTTGAAGATGACATACGGCGGGAGCTTCAATCCCGACGCGGTGACCGCCAACATGACGGTGAGCCGCTCCTTTTCATAGCCGGCCGTCCTCACATGAACCGTACGGGAGCCTCTGTGCTCCAACGTCCTCTCCTGGGGCATTTCGATGAAGAGGGGGGTTTGGTCGGCGTTCACGATGTGGTCGAGGTTGTACCGGTTGAGAATCCGCATCTGTTTGACAAACTCCCTGAACTTCTCGATCTGACTCCTCATGTCTGCCTAGAACAAAACAGTCGGAGAACAAATTCAGGCGTGAACACGCGAGAAGCAAGACAATCAAAAGAATCAAATATTGAAAGTCGCGGCAAGGGATTGAATAACAAGGATGGGACGACAGTTTACCGTCGGCGAGCTTTTGCCCCCGACGCGTAAGGCCCCAGCGCGCGTGGAATCTGAACGTCCAACGACTCGACGCTCTCCAATCGACGTCGGGATGATGTACGCGCTTGTACGAGCGACTCCATTTCTGCAGCAGCTTGACGGAGACGGCAAGCCCCCTCCCGCGGTGCCTCAGGAACTGTCGGTAGAGGGCGCTCTCCATCGTCGGGTACTTCGCGGGACGTCCGGCACCGACGAGGCGTTTGCGGCAGCCGGCAGCGACACGGAGGCGTTCGCGAGCATTCTTCCACTCCCAAATCGACACCGGCTGGACACCTGCAAGCTTTGCGAGTCCACGCACAGAGAGGTCGGGTTGAGCATCGAACATGGCAAGCCAGTACAACTTCTCCGAGGCAGAGTAAGAGCGGCGCTTCCGCTTTGTCATCCTGCTTCGAGATGCGGGGGCATGGATATCGTGATTCAAGGTAGGACCACGGGGTCGTCGAGTGGGCTCCGGGAAACTCGGCATGCTGACGCCCTTCCGTCGTAGTGGCGTCGCCGCTTGCAGAATCTGTCGCAGCGGCGTTCCCGCTTGCAGAATCTGTCGCAGCGGCGTCGCCGCTTGCAGAATCTGTCGCAGCGGCATCGACGCTTGTAGAGTCTGACGCAGCGGCATCGCCGTCAGCAGAGGACCGACGAAGTAAAAACGTCTGCTGGCCATAAGGGCCCTTTCGAGTCAGAAGGCGAGACAAGTCAGAGCCTGAGGCCATGGCGGGGGGACGTTACAGAGACGGAGCTTGAGGATGCCTTAGACAGCCCTTGCAGGGGTTGTCTTGAAGGCAACCTGGAGTCGAAACTGAAAATGAGAGGACGGAGCGGGGTAGACCCACTTCAAGAGTGGGTTGGAGGGGAAGGCAGGGACGTGGGCGACTCCCTCGTCCCTGTCGCCCATGAAATGCCTCTCACGACCATCCAGAATGTGTGATTCCGTGCGCTGGCCGGTCGTGAGAGGGCATCGACGGAATGTGCCGTTGATTTCGCCACCCCATGCTGTGCTGGCACAGCGTGGGTTGGAGACATCAAGGTCCGCCTGCAGCACAAGCTGATTGGCTACTGTGGCAGCATACTGAATCAGCAGCTTACGTAAACGATGTGGTATGCACATTGACCAAATCGTTGGGTACGCGCTCAGATAGCAGAATGGGACTCCATGCTCAGAACAATGCTTTGTCACAAGTACAGTTGAATTCAAATCAAAAATTGCATATGGACATTCCATAACTCCTGGGTGCTGTAATTTTTTTGTCTTTAATTACACCCAACCCAAAATTTCGTTGCATTTTTTATTAACACCATAGGGTGTTTTATACGGGGGATTACGGTAGTCTTCTGCAACACCTGTCGAAATATTACATAAAATACCCGTTAGCGGCCGGAATTGCCGAAATTACCCGTTAGCATACGGATTCGTCGAAGAGCGAGATACTCTTGGTTTGAAACATCCTTGAAGGTACATGGCCTTGTCCAGGGCTAAGGAAACCCCATCGAAACCCCAGGGACTGTTTCTCGCTGATACAACGCCTCATGCAGTTGGGAGAGTAGAAAAACTCCCGGCAACTAGCTTCGCGCTTTGCTTAGTGGAGGAATTTGGAAGAAGTTGAAACTAACCACTACGAACATATGTCATACTGTAACTGCACTTCGTACGGATTAAACGAAAAGTATCCCGCAATGTCAAGGTAATCCCGGAATAAAAAAAACGTTTACTATGCAAAGAAACTGAATTAGGTAGTAAACAACTCTTCGTTTCGTGACATGGGTAATTTTCCTGTTAGCCAGAGGCCTGGTGTGATCCCTCATGGCATGACGAAGCATAAGCGACGGCTAGCGATGTTATCGTGGTGTCCCTGTCAGAACAGGCACTTTTGACCTCACCTGTTCCAGGATCCAAGCATGATGAACAGGTGGCACATTCTACGCCGTCAATCCGGCGGGTGCCGGAACAGCATGGTTACTCGACAGGCCAGCCGAGACGCGATCTCCAGTCAGCCCAACTAGTCAACACGTCATCGCGTTTGCACAACCCTAGACCGAGGAACCAGCTGTTCCCCAGCCCACACCGTCGCAATTCCCACTTCCCCGCAGATTCCAGACTCGCATGGAATGGCGGTGCAGCTGTCCCTGGCAGCAGGGTTGACACCTTGAAGCCTCCGCCGCTGTCGCAACTGCTTCCTGTCAACTCACAGCCCAAAACCCGAATGGAACAAACCGCAAGCCGTCAGTCATTTCAGCCATGTCCTAGCGTTTGAGTCAAATTCAGCCAATCGTTCGTCCTGTTGGTGAAACCTGCACCGCTTACACTCTTGTTCTCTCCCAAGCCAGCTCCAGGTCCACTGATCTCTCTAGCCTAGTCCCCTGTTCTCAACCCTGTGACAGCCGTCTCTTGGCGTTTTGAAACCCTCGCTCTGCTCTGAGCCCTCCCAGCCCTGCTCACTCGCTGCTGCTGGTAAATCTCTCGCAGATCGCTTAGGCGCTATTGTTCGTTCCGCAAAAACAGCAGCCATGACACTCACCCCACTGCACCCGCTGGACCCGAAGAGCGTTCGACACGTGGCCGCTGCTGCAGCCAGGTCGCCGTTCCTCCGAGGTCCTGGCACGACTTTCCACACCATGTCGGATTGTGCGATTCCGGATAGTCCCGTGAGAAGCGGTTCCTTGCCTCGGCGCCATCATCATCACCATCACCACGGCCTGCAGGTGGATGTGGATCCAATGATCGAGGAGGCATGGGAGGCTGCCGTCTCGTCCTTCTCGGTACGCCGCTGCTGGTGCTGCTTTGCGTGTGACCTTTGGCATGGCAATACTAGCGCCGCGCTCTAAGTCTTCCTTCTATTTCGTTTCCTGACTCGTTTTTCCCGTTTTACCGAATTTCAGGATTTTCAGGGAGCGTTTGAAGGGCCGTCGAAGGCGATCAAGGAGGGAGGAGCGTCCCTGGCGAAGAAAGCCCACGAGGTCGGAGAGGCCGTCTGGAAGACACTCGAACCGACTAACCTTCCCTGGTCCAGGGAGCATTCTCCTCGAGGCCCGTCCCCTCGCGGCCACCATTGATTGACAGCCGTTGATCGCTCTCTCCCTTGCGGGCCTTCCTGATACACGCGTCTCCATGGAATGGATGACGTGGAAGTTGCTGGAAGACCTTTTCCTGTGCATATACTGCCATCATACTGCATATACCATGCCCGCCAGTGGCTTCTGGTGGCATTACTGGTTGTGTGCCAGTGCGCTGGCGCTCTTTCATACTTGAAGTGCTCGTATTGGGAGTTAATTTAGAGGCTGAAGTGTTCTTTGTACCGTACCTGTATATATTTGTTTGTTAACCTGATGTTTGCGTAAGAATTACTGGTTCCCACCACTTTTAGTTCCCACTGTTCCTACAGTGCCTGTTTAATCTGTTAGTTTAGGTGATCATGCACCTACTACGATTTTGGAGTAACCATGCCGAGTAAGAAATGCAGCAACACAGGCAAAAACTGTTACAATCCTAAACACGAAAAAGTGGGGAAAATTCCCGCACAGGCAACCCTACAAATCTATCGGACACCAGGGTAGGGTGCCTGGAGCAATGTTTGAGAGCAGGAGCACAGTCAAAGCAGGCGGGCAGGCAGGGGCCCAGTACAAGTGCAACACAAGTGGGTACGCAATCGCCCCATCGCTACAAAACAAAAACACCATTCGCAGCTGAACTGTGCCACACGTCATGTGCAAACACCGGCAGGCAGCCACCACGCTCAATATGCACCAGCACCAGTTCCCCTCACGCTCTCACCCTCCCTGCCTCAGTACGTGCCGCTCCAGCTCTGCTGGGAGCGTTGTGCCTGCGCTTGCTGTTGCTGCTGCTGCTGGTAGCTGCCGGCACCACCGCCAGCAGACCCGCCAACACCAGCACCGCCGGCGCTACCGCCCATACCCTGCGACTGCAGCAGTTGCTGGTGCGAGTGGCCGTGCACGTGGCCTGAGGGGCCTCCCGGTCCCGACTGGGACGCGTGGTACAGGCCCGCAGCAGCAGCAGCTGCTGCCCCGTATGCTGCTGCCGGGTGCGTGGCATGGCCCCCCGGAGCCTGGGGGTGGGTGTGCGTGGCTGATGGGTAGCCCCCTGCGTGCCCAGCTTGGCCTGGTGCAAGGTTGTAGTATGAGGAGGTCGGCATTCCTGCCGCCACCGCTGCTGCTGCCATGTCTCTTGACACCTGCAGAGAAGACACCGCATGGGACACAAGGAAATTAACACGACGCCAGAGTGAGAGTGGAAGGGCCAGGAACAGCAAGGAGAGGGTGCGGGGGAGATCTAGGAGAAGATCAATCAGCAGACACAGCTCCCAAATCAAGCATACCTGCTGGCCTTGCAGGTATAGGCTGCTGGCGTCCTTGTACTGACTGCCCCCAACATCCTCATACCCCCCGCTGCTCGTCCCCCCTGCCGACATCCCAGGCCCCCCACCATACCCCCCAGCCGCCCCCGGGTACGCCCCATACGCCGCTGCTCCCGCAGTCAGATGCCCCGTGCCGCCAGTGGAACCTGCCGTTTTATACCCTGCGGGCATGGGGTATTTAGCGCCTGCGACCGTCCCAGGAGGGTAGGAGGACCCCGCTGCTGTGGGGTACGAGGGGTTACCAGGCGCTTGTGGGTAGGTGGAGGAGGTGGGGGCGTAGCTGGGGTGCGTGTAGGGGGAGTGCATGGTGTAGTAGTTGGGAGGCACAGCGTATTGCGCGTAGCCTGCATAGTTGATTCCGTAGTGCGCACCCATGGGGATGCCTGCAGGCTGCGCGGCATATGCAGCGGCAGCGGCAGCGTGCATGGGAACCGGCTGCTGCTGCTGCTGTTGTTGCTGCTGCTGCTGCTGCCCCTGCTGAGGCTGCCCCTGCTGCGGCTGCTGCTGGGACTGCTGCTGCGGCTGCTGCTGCTGCTGCGCCTGGGGCTGCTGCTGCTGCACCTGCTGCTGGGAGAGACCAGTGGAGTGTGAGGAGGACGCCTGGCCCATGGACGGAGCTCCCACAATGCCCAGACTGCTGGACGTCTGTACGGACACACACACACACACACACACACACACACACACACACACACACACACACACACGGTGACAGGGAAAGGCAACACACACATGCGCAGCAACCAGCACAGGTGAGACGAAGTACGCCGGGGTGCTAGCGCCAGTCGCACTTGCGCTGTACGGCCTTCAGGTAAGGGGCCATACACATGCTTTCTATGCTGTGTTCAAACCCTAGAACTTCAGGCGCCTAATGCGCTCTTCTTAAACCCACGCTTTACAGTCTGATAGTTATATCGCATCATCCGCCAAATCTGGAGTTTTTTCCGCCCTTCCAGCCCCACAATTCAAACTCCACTCCCCCGGTCCTCAACCATGTTTCGCACGTTCCTTCCACCCGTTACAGACCCCCACACGCCCAACGCCTATCTTTCTTCTATTAAGTCCCAGCTCACCTCTTGAGAAGGGAGCCCCTGCCCCGCACCCGCGACGCCTGCGGATCCGTACTTGGCGCCCAGGGCGGAGCCCGACGACGTCACGAAAGGCGAGTAACGCATTTCGCCGTCGCCACTGGGCCTGAACGCGGGCGAGTAGTAGCTGCCAGGCGGGTCGCTGTACTGCTGCTGCGGGACGGAGAACAGGGGAAGCCAATGCAGCAGAGGGACGAGCGGGATCGGGAGGAACAAGGGGGGAAAAAACTGACGCCAGTGACAGCAAACGGGGTGAGGAAAGGGAGGGAGGACGGGCAGAGAAAGGACGCAAATATAATCTCACAGACGCGGGCGGGGAAAGAGGTTCGTGACTGGCGGCGAAGCGAACGGGAGCTTACCAGTCCCACGGACGTGAAGCGGGAGATGTCGCCGGCGACTTGAGGCTCGGACGCGTCATAGGCGGGGTATTGCCCCGCGGGCATCTGCGGCACCAGGCCAAAGGCAGGGTAGTTCTGCAGCGCAGGTACATACGGATACGCGGACGGCTGCTGCTGCTGCTGCTGCTGCTGTGCCTGCTGCTGCTGAGCTTGTTGAGACAGCTGCTGCAGCTGCTGCTGCTGCGACAGCTGGCTTTGCGCCTGCTGCTGCGCCTGCGCTGGCTGCTGCTGCTGCTGCTGGGGCTGCTGCTGCTGCTGCACAAGCGGCGCTTGAGGCGCGATCGCCTGCTGGGCCTGGGCCTGCTCAGCCAGCGGCTGCTGCTGCTGCTGGTGCGACGCTACCTGCTGCGCCGCCTGCTGCTGCTGCTGGGGCTGCTGCGCGGCGGCGGCAGGAGCCTGCGCCTCCTGGAGCAGCGGCTGGGCTGCTGCCGCTGGCGCCTGCTGCGCCGCTGCCGCCGCAGCAGCAGCCTGTGCAGCGAACGCCGCTGCCTCTGCCTGCGCTTGCGCCGTCTCCGCCACGCTCGCCTGCGCCTGCGCTTGCGCCTGCGCCTGCTCGTCCTTCGCCTGCGGGCGCTCCTGCTGCTGCTGCGCCTGTGCGGCAGCGGCGGCAGCGGCCAGATCCTCGTCGTGCTTGGGCGCTTCCACGGGCTTGACGTCCACGATCGCCGCGTGCTCCTCCTTGGCGACCTGCTCCTGCTCTTGCTCCTGCTGCTTCTCCTGCTCCTGCTCTTGCTGCTCCGCCTGTGCTGCAGGCGGCTGCGACAGCAGACTGGTAGCGGTCATGCGAGGGAGAGGATATAAGGAGAAGAGGCGGGGGGAGGGGGGGAGAGGGGTTTGTCGGGGGGGAAGGGGGAAGAGGGAGGGAAGGTGATACAATAGTTCTTATGTTTTTTAAAATTCAATTATCATGACAATACGACTGGGTAAACATTCAAGGTACCAAGAACTACAGCGACAACCACCTTATAACAAAACGGAACGAAAAAAAACATAGAGACATCTGAGGCACAGAGAGGAGAGGCAACTGACCTGGACGAGCCAACGGCGTCCGCGGCCTTGTTAGCGGTGAGCGCGTCCGCGCCGAAGCCGGTGCCGAACGACGTGCCGAAGCCAGCGCCGAAGCTGCCGAAGCTGAGGCGCGTCTGGTCCGCCTCGGGCACGCGGAGGTGGCCCGGAATGATCACGGGCTTGTCGTCCTGCAGCCCCAGGCTCTGCAGCTTGCTGCCCGCCGCCGCCACGGCCGCCCGCTCCTCTGCACGCCGAGAGAGAGAGCAAATACGGTGGGTCCAGCAGGTCCGTGAGATAACACAACGGCGAGAAGAGGAAAACAGGTGACACTGAATAACACTGAATCTCACTGAATCTCACTGATTCTCACTGAATCTCACGTTCACGCTGAAACAGCAGACAGGGACTCAGGCGATACCTGGTGAGGCAACTGCGGATTCAGGCTCCTGCGCGGGAGTAACGGCCACCACGTCAGCAGCAGCAGCGGGAGTGCCGATGGATCCGAGAACAGACGGCTGCTGCGGCTGCTGCTGGGTCACCTGCTGCTGCTGCGTCTGCAGGGCCGCACCCGCAGCCGGAACAGTCGCCGCGGCTGCCGCATCGGCCACGGAGACCTGAGCCGCACTGGCGGCAGGCGGCTGCTGCGGCGCAATCTGCTGCTGCTGCTGCTGATCCGGCGCCCCAAGCGACACGCCAGGCAGCTGCGTCGCAGCAGCGTCGCTACCATCCGCGGTTTCCGCAGCCACGCTCGCCGGCGGCAGCCGCTCCCCTATGGGCCTCTGCGTGCCTACCGTGCCCACGTCCCTCTTGCTCTGCGGGTGCAGTACCGGATCAGCCGCAGACGCGTACAGGCTCGGCGCGGTAACGCCTGACGCCATGGTTGCCGCGAGATACGGGGTGGGGGCGGGGGGTCCGGTAACGACAGGTGCGGCGGGCTGGGGGATCGGCGCGTGCGCCTGCAAGGCCGGCGCGGGCGCGGGTGCCGGGGCGGGCGGAGCTTGCTGTGCTTGCTGCGCGGCGGCGGAGGACTTGAGCATCTCCGCCATGGTCGTTCCGCCGCCGCCCCACAGAGAGCCTCCGCCGGGACGCGAGTAAAGCGAGCCCCCCGCAGGCGCAGGCTGACCCGGTAGGCTGCACGGGGAGGGGCGCAAACGAAAGAACCATGGCCATACAAAAACGGACAGATTCAGTCAGGGGAATGAAACGGAAAGCGGGATAGAACGGAAACTTCCTTCCTAAAAAATTGATGGGACAGGTCGCGCCAGGCAAAAGCGACAGGTCGAGCCAGACAAGTCGATCGCTGGACGGGAGAAAGAGGATCTGAAAGTGGTAGGAAGCGCGCGCAGACAAGGCGAGCAGTTAAGAGCGGAGAGCAGGAGGAACGAACCCTGTGGTTTGAGTTGCGCCCATAGCCACCGACACAGGCTGCCCAGGCGCAGCACCAGGCACTCCGCCAGTCACGTACGCTCCCACGCCACTGCAAGCGCGAAAGCGAACAAGATTAATGAAATAGATGAAAGTTGAAACCATACGCCATAACGATGGGAGACAAACGACGAAGAATCGTTTCACCGGAGCTGTGAACTCGCAGGAAAACCGGACGCAACGCAAGAAGGGAACGAACAAGCTCGAAGGAAGAACAACAAAAGCCCACCTTGGTGCTCCGGCTCCCAGAACCGGGGCCCTATGCTGGGGATAGCCGGGCAACCCTCCCGGCATACCCACAGGACCTCCGCCATACCCTGGAGCAGAGCCCCCAACAACGGGGATGTAGCCCGGCCCGCCCGGTGCTCCTGCGCCGCCGGGTCTCGAACTGGGATGAATTCCATTCTCTCGTTGCGGCATCGGCCGTCCTCGACCACCGCCATAGTCTGCCATGAGGGTATGACGACACAGCGGCGTCGGAAACGGGGGAAATCAAGGCTTCCTCGAAAAGCACTCTCGGATTCTCGAGCCTTAAGTTACGATTCTGAGACATGCAAGACGCAGCGGGACTGGTGAATAATAACGCCGACGAGTAAGCTATGAAACGGAAGAGTCAACGATCTGAAGCCCGAAGCCCCGTACCTGGGCGGTTCGAACCACGATCTGACGCGCCGCCTCCTCTACCCCCGCCCCTTCCAGCTCCACCCCTAATTCTGACCTCACCACCCTCCTGCAAATACATGTATGGAAAAGCATGAGTAGCGCGTTGAGGACTAGTCGGGAGGATTCGACAGATAGGAAAACAAGCAAATTACGGACAGCTAGAAAACTTATGACAGCTAGGCCTAAGACGACGTGTAGACTTGTTTTATATTAACGACGCTTTAATATCAGAGTGAACCGACTGTTAAGAGGTAGTTGATAAGAGCATATTACCTCTTTCTTCTTGCCCTTCTTCCGCCTCACTTCATGGAAGGGATCTGATGCATTCACGCAGCAGGAACAGAACGGAAGAAAAATATCAGATTCACGGCGGATCTGGGATCTACGGTATCGAAGATTAAGAAACCAGGGATCTGACACTAAAGCAAGCACTTGTCACGAAACGCGAAGCGCGAGTCGCCACGAACCTTGATTCAACAACCTCTGAGCAGCTTCGTTCGGATCCATATTGCACTCTTTCAACGCTGCGTATATTTCCTCCTCCGTGTTTGACACGATTTCCTTCAATTCTTGCACGATCTTTTTCGCACTTGGCGGAATCATGACGCTTGTGCTTCCTAGCCCTCGGCCGACTGGCCGGGACGTCTGTGAAACTGATCGGGACATGGCTCTGAACGAGTGTGGCAAGGCCGACAAAGCTTGTTGCTAGATCTCAAGATCGACTTGTGTATGGATAGAGGGGAAGAGGGTTAGTGGCGTGTTCTGGGTGTGAGTGTGGAGAAAGAAAACAGTTGTGGGAGCGAATGGAGAGGAAGAGGGAAGGGAAGAACAGAAAGAGGGGGAGGAAGGTTGGTGGTGCTGGGAGGGAGTTCTCTAAACCCCAGCCAAGATTTTACCTGCCTCGCTGGTCCCTGACCTAAAAGGTCTCTTCGAGGGTTGCCGAACCTGAGATCAGACTCAGAACGCAGGGAACAGAAATGTGCCGAACGAGTGAGCACACGTGGCCATCTAGAACCGCGAAAACAGACGTGACATCCGTCTAGTGACAGGGAAGCGGCTCCTTGTCCTAATCTGAAAGTCTGCTTCGGAAAGGGAAAAGGCGCGAGTCTACGCTCGGCACAACAGCTTCGGCGTTCAGAGAGATTTGTTGGGTTGGACCTGCCGTTCACTCCGCAACCCCAGTTCAGCCTCAAGCATGCAATCAAGGATATGCAAAGAAAGCTCTACCCACAAGCCATATTCCATTTGTACACTTGTACCTACAGCATTTCCTGTTTATGCGACTTTGATGAATATAATTAGGCAAGAAGCCCACATACTTCACCAATGCTGGCAAAACTTGGAAACATGCCCTAAGTTAGCCAATTTTTACTTCATTGTGGTTATTGCAATCGGTTCTATGCTCGGTTATGTGGGTATTGTAATAATGGAAATTTCATACCCGGCTGCCCAATGAATGAATTATACGCCAGTGTCAAATTAAGAAAGTATTGGAGCCAAATTTACGGCGAATTTTATGATATTACGTATATTGGTCAATATATCAACCTTGTAAACGTTGTGATATAATTCATACTTAGCATTTCTGTAAGTCGATTATGCACACATAGTGTCGAATCCTATAGTAGAAGATAAGTCCAAATGATGACGTCAGCAAATAGCGCTCGTCATGAGGACAGTCATTTCAGTCACGCGAACTGCATATGTGCAGTTCCTGATGAGAGAAACGGCAACTCAGGGCGGCACTACTAGTCCAACCTCCGAGTCAAAGGTTTAAAGACCAGTCAAACAAGAACAGACCAGTGCAAGGGCAAGACCAGGGTGGCACTACTAGTCAAGCCACTGGGAGAGGCCACAAGGCCGGTCAAGAATAAAAATTATATATAGGTCAGTACATAGTCAAGGCCCTAGCAAGTGAGAGGTAACAGGAACAAGGCCTAGCTGTACACAGTACCGCAGACGATCTTTAAGCGCAAGGGCCTTCGTAAAGATATCAGCTGTGTTGGCACCAGAAGTCAAGTGTACTACGCCAGCCTAGCGACGCTGCTGCAGCTCGCGCAGGACGAAGTACCGCAGGTGGATGTGCTTTGCTCTGCCCTCAAGTCGAGGCTCCTAACACAAGAGGATCATGGCCCTGTTGTCAGCGTACAGGACTGGTGCAGAGTGAGGCCGCTCACCTAAGTTAGTGAGCAGGAAGGTCAGCCAGCAGAGCTCCTGTGCTCCCACAGCACCGGCGTAGATCTCGGCCTCAAAGCTGGACTGGGCAACAGACGAGGAGCGAGTAGCTCTCCACGAGACAGCAACTCAACCAAGGCTAGAGCAGTAGCCCTGCGAGGACCTAAGGGTCTCAGCGTTGTCTGCCCAAGAAGCGTCTGTGTGCCGAGTAAGGACCACCGGCCTGCGTCCTCCCAGCACTAACCCCATGCCTGATGTACTCGCCGACCAGTGCCAAGGTTTGTGTCTGCTTGTGGCCACAAAGCGAGCCAGGATGCTGAGAGGGTATGCGAGGTCTGGATGCGGACAAATTATCAGGTACATAAGGTAACCCACCAGCTCTACGTAAGGACCACTGGGCTCTGCTGACTCCCCAGGAACTGGAGCAGAGAGCATGTGATCTACAGGAAGAGGTGTGGGTTGTGCGGAGGAGAACTGAAGACCGAACCTCTGATGAACCTGGCGCCCCAAGGGTGACTGGGTGACAGTGATGGTGCACGTTGCTCTGTCTCTGGAGATCTGCAGGCCCAGGTACTGGCGCAGCTCTCTTAGGTCAGTGCAGGTGTGTCTCCTCAGCAGCTCAGCCTTCACAAAGGCCAGCACGGTGGTGTCTGCAATGGCAAAGACCAGATCGTCTACGTAAACAAGGATGTAGAATGCAGTTTGGCCAGAACGAACAAAGAGCAAGGGGTCTGCGGAAGACAAAAAGAACTGCAGGTCTGCAAGGGTAGCACGCCGCGTGTCGTGTCACTCGCGGGGAGCCTGACGCAAGCCGTAGACTGGGCGCCGCAGAAGCCACTAGGTCCCAGGAGGAAAGGTACCAGTGAAACCCTGAAGGCGGCGCAGGTAAAAGTCCAGAAGAAACGCAGTGGAGAAGTCGAGGGAGTGTAACTCGTAGTCACGCTGTGCTGCTACGTGTAGCAGTGCCCGAAGAGTAGTCATCTTCGCGGTCGGGGCGAAAGTCTCAAAGAAGTCCACCCCCTCACACTGACTAAAGCCTCTAGCCACGTAGCGCGCCTTGAACACAGGCGGCTCTCCAGGTGGGCGCTTCACCTTGAAGAGCCAGCGGCCATCAACTACGTTCACCCCAGGTAGGGGAACAACGTCGACGTAGGTGCCGGTGGATCTCCAAGATGTCATCTCCAGCTCCATGGCAGCTATCCACTGAGAGGCCCAAGGTCCTGAGGTCGCTTCAGCGAAGGTGCGAGGGGTCGGGATGTCGAAAGCGTCTGGGTCACCTCCAAGGACTAACAGCATGGAACAGAGATGGGGAGCAGCCTCGGACAGGAAAGCAAGCTCGTAGTGACAGTCATCCAGGACGTCGCTCCGAGGGCAGAAGCACCCCCGGCAGACGGAGGACAGGCAGGGTTAGAGACCAGAGCGGTGGCGTAGTCAAGGCGGCAGGTAGAGGCAAAGTCAGCGACTGCAGCGACAAGAGCGTCAAGACGCGAAACCGGAATAGACGGGTCGGAAACGAGAGAGGCAAGGACCCGAGGAACAAGAGGACGAGTGGAACGAAGGTAGTCAGACAGAGGGGGAGGCGCAACGACAAGGGAGGACGAAGGAGGCGACGGGAGGAGGGGAGGACGAGACACGTGGGAACGAAGCAATATAGGGTGAGAGCGCGGGACAGAGGAGACAGGGCGAGCACGGGAGGGCCGGCGAGACCAGACGTGAGACGGAGGCGTCGCATCAGGAGACACAGGAGGGGAACGAGGAGGAAGACGAGCCGGAGACAAGTCCGGGGGAGTGAACATAGGGCCGTAGACAGGAAGGGGAGGAGACGGTAGGGGAGGCACAAACACATGGTTAGGGGACGGAAGGCCAAGCAGGCGAAGGGCTGACACCGGCGGTGACTGCTGCTGCGGTGGCACGACACCGACACCGGGACGACAAGCTGCTCCACGGCTACCTCCGAAACACTCCACTCTCGCACCCCTACGAGGAACACCCCCGGAATCCGAAACCCCGCGAATACTGGTACCACCCCCAGGCCCGCAGGGACATGCCACGACAGGAACCCGAGGACTAGTACCCACCCCAACGCCAGAACACCCAGAGTCAACGAAGTGCTGCTGCGACGGCTGCGACGACGGCTGCGGCGGCGGGGGCGGCGGTGACGGCGGCTTTGACAACGGCGGCGACGGCGGCTGCGAAGGCGGCGGGGGACGAGACGTCTAGGAAGGGGCAAGCGGCGAGGACTGCGCCGCAGGGCCACCAGAGTCAGCAGACTCCTCGACCGGGACAACCGACGGGAGGGGAGTAACGTGAGACACACCAGACGGTGCAGGACGGGGACGGGGAGGGGGGGGGACAAGGGCGACCGGGGAAGGGGTGACCAGGAACATGGGAGGAGTAACCGGGGGACCTCTGTGGGGCAAGCGGCGGTTGAAGGAGACGGACTCGTCAAAGGTGACATCACGAGAGTGAAAGAACCTGTGAGACGGCGGATGGTAGAAGTGCCAGTCGGACGCGTCAAGGGGGAAACCGGGGAAGACATAAGGGAGGGTGCGGGCAGTGAGTTTGTCCATGCCAGAGGCACGCACGTGAGCAAGGCAGCCCCAGACGTGAAAGGCAGAGGCGTCACCAGGAGACCCGGACCAAAGAAGCGTCGGCGAAACCTACGGCTGCTGGGGGTGCGGCCACAGGTTAAGCTGATGAGCGGCGTAACGAACAGCGAACGGTCACAGAAAATGGGATGCACTGGCATGGATCATGGAGGTACGGGCCACCTCCATGACCAAACCGATGCGTCGCTCAGCGACCCCATTCTGCTACGGGGAGTCCGACAAGGTAAACGTCTGGGTGATGCCCTCCGCACGACTGAAACGACCAAGGACACCAGAGGCAAACTCGCCACCACGGTCGGAGTAGAGACGCAAGATAGGTAGACCACGTTGGACACGCGCAGAGACAAGCCACGGGATGAGAACGTCAGGCACGTCGGCCTTCCGCTCCAGGGGGTACACGGTGGTGTAGCGCGTCTAGTCGTCAACAAGCACTAGGAAGTAGTGCTCTCGACGCGTCCCATGGACGGGGGCAGGGCCCCATGCGTCCATCTACAGAGTCTGTAGCGGTGCGGCTGTAGGGGGGAACGAGGAGGAATGAGGGGCACGGCGCAGCTGGCCCTCGATACAGAGCGTGCACGGTGGCGCTGGAGAGGAGGGCAACTCGGGGAACGACCCTGGGAGTCCTAGGACAAGACCGTACAGTGACATGTGACGTAGACGCTGGAGTGCGGGGTGACCGAGACGGTGGTGCCACAGGAGTGTTGGGTGAGTGAGCGATCAACAGGAGCAGGCAGCAGCAACTCGGGTAGACGCAGCCACCTGAGAACGGTCCCGGGGAACGTAGTGAGGGGGGCACCAGTTGCGGCCTCGATACAGACAGCGTACCGCTCGTGACGAGGGAACGTAGTGGTGACGCTAAGGTCCTAAAGGCAGCCGACACCAACTAGGTTCCTGATGAACGAGGGGATGTGCAGGCCTGTAAGAGAGCCTGAAGGAACTGCCGGACAGGGAAGCGTGGTGGAACTGCGAGCGACTACCGGGCCGGAGGAGGGGTCGGCAAGTGAAATTGCGGCAGGAGTAGCA